TATCCAAAATAGTAAAGTCCCATGTCAAATTTTACCTCCCCTAATTTTACTTGCAATATAAATTGTAAAATCTAATTGAAATAAATAATTGAATAAATGTTAGATATATACTATCTTTCATGAAAATTTGGATACTGATTCGTACAAATTCTAACAAATAGCTACGTAAGAAATTAAGACATTATTATAATTTATAGACATCAGATTCTTATGCAATTTTTTTTAGAAAGCAGATTGGAAAGTAATATTAAAATAAAAAAATCTGTCTTATTGCAAAAGCATTCTAAAAGTGCATATTTAATTTGAGGCAAATTTAATATATTTTCTTGAATTAAATCATTTAACTCCTTATTTAGTTAAAAAAAAGTTAAAGGCATACTGTGAAAAATCAGTAGAGACATAGAAATGATTGAAAATATTTTAAATTGAATATAATTCAACATTATATGAATTTATATTTATATATTGAATATATATTATTATATATGAATTTATATTATAATATATATATAATTATATATATGTATAATGCCCCAATTTTGTATATAATCATTCAATAAAATTTATACAAGTCCGAATTTCCATAAGCGCTAGTAAAATGACGCATAGAATAGTTAAAATTTTGTTGTAATTATTTACCTGTTCACGTAAGTCCTCATCGAGATCATAATTGGACAATTTCTGAAGAATTGCTACTGTCTCGTTTATCTGAAATGGTTTTTGTACAATATGAAAGTTTGTAGTAAAATTGAAAATTTTTACATCCAATAAGTAAGATTACGTTATTTCGATAAAAACTTAACAAAATGTATAATTACATTTCTGCAAAATTGTTGCTTGTACTTATTATTTTAGTATTTATTCTAAATAATTAGTAATGATTTTTAAATATACTATACCTTATAGTAAACAGTTTGACATATGTAGTTTAATGTGAGAAATAAGATGCTGTATAGAATGAAAATAGAATTTGCATCTAAATAGAGGAAAATAAGTCGAAATGTCCATACTTTCTCTTTCATAGGTGTTTTAAGAATCCAATGTATATAAATACCAAAGACAGTAGTTTGTAATAAGTACAGAAACGTATATAGTGACATTTGTATGTTGAACACTTTGTTTAGTTTACGTGATATAAGGTATAATTGTAGGTGAACATGTCTGTAAAAAATCGTACTTGTTATAATTAATTAAACCATAAAGACATGTATCTACGATAAGTACTAAGCAAAATATATTTTTAGCGTAGAATTCAATTTAAACTATAGTTGTAGTATGCGATCGATGCAAAATGTGCGAATTTTGCCCAGTTAAAGTTAATTATTCTGATATACATATAGGTATATATGTACATACATACTAGTATATAGTATGTTCCATTTTAACTTTCGCTTCAAAACATCTCAAAAAGTATAAAAGATGCGGGAAAATTATTTCAAAGAAAAGTGGGACTCTTTCGAGGGGACCTATTATGGTTACATTATTTTTTTGTAGAGGCACCTAAAAGATATATGAATACTAATTTCGTTTTTAAATGGAATTATATTTCTTATTGAAATTATGTGATTTTTTCTATCTACTACAAAATGATTTTTGTAATCATTCCGCATATAAAAATATTAAGGTAAAGATATCAAGAAACCAATATAATTTTAAAAACATTTTTTTCAACATTTTTCAAGATATTTCGATGTAAAAGTTAAAATGGGGTATACTGTATACATATATGTATACATATATGCGCTCGCATATACAATAATTCATTAAAAAGTTTACATTAGAATCCATATATATTGTTTGGGATCCTTAGCTTTTATTATCCGTTGACATACTGAAATGGATCCGTTTCGTCTTCTGTAATCGGCATTATTTTCGAAGATATCAAAATAAAGTACATGTAAACGATCATTGACTTGATGAAATTTGAAGCTTGTGTATCTGAATTGGATGAAAGAGATTTAGTTATGTCTTTCATTAAAATTAAGATACATATACCCATTATGTACACATATTTTAATTGCGTTAATAAATAATCAAAGTCAGACTAAATTAGAATTTTGTTATTTGTTTTTTACGTTTTATTATACTTTACGTATACTTATTGCCATATATGACAGAATAAACTTTTATTACTTTTTACATTAAATTTAGCTTATAATGCATTCTTTAGAATTGCAATGCTAACACTGATAAATGTATTTGAAATTATTAAAGTATATTTAAATAATTTTAAAAGATATTTAAGTGTTTCAGACTCTAAACATTTTGACATAACACACACTCAACAAAAAATAGCTTATGAAGTAAATGTTCACATATCACATATATACTAACCCCAGAATGGTTCCACAAATCAGAACACTAAAGATAATTACATATCCCGGATAATTCTCAACAAATAATATATAAATATCAACGATTTCTAGATCAAACCTATACAAAAGTTGCCAATATATAGTTACTGCGAAGTCAGAAAAAATGTACACAATCCATCCGATTATTATTTGAATTATCCAGTTAAGCAAACGTTGGTATTTTTTTGGCGCACCGAGTGCTTCCAGCGTATCGTCTACTTTGGAAAGTTCATGCAAGCTCATTTTCAATTCCTTTAAAAAATTATATTGGCCGATTAAACGACATGAAAAGAAATTATTACAAGTTTATATCTGAATAAAAGTTTGTATTGCAATGTGTATAAGAAATATGATAAATAAACGTGTATTGAAATTTGATTTTTTAGTATTTGAAACATAAAATTTAAAAAAAATTATGTTAAAAACTAATTTAGAAAAATAATATAAATACAAATATTAATTTTAACAAACATATTCCGTATACAATAAATAATAATATTGTATAAACATTAAAATTGATCTGTTCAAAAACCTTTTATAAATTTGTATTCGCCTATAACTCTTACCTTAAAACGAAACCAGCTAACAAATATCGACGTAATCACGCTGATAAATATTATGTTTTGCTTCCAATCTGTTACAGTTTCCCAATTCTCCAAATAAATTGGATATGGATAGTCAACGGAAAACGTAAAAAGGCTCCATGTGACCAAGGCATACAGATAAGAAAGATACGGCCTAGGTTGTCCAAGAGGATATTCGAACAATCCCAAACTACAAAACGAGCCAATGATCAATAATGGTGCCATCGCTTTCTGTAGTGTTTTCGTCATAGTTTCCGGGTCGTCGACTAATAATTTCAATTAATTTTTGCCGAACGAGATACAAGCGTGTTTTTATAAGAATTTCAGAAATAATTTTTGCAGATAGATAACTTTATGAGAATTCCACTGTAAGATACTTATATTGGAGGATAAAGTAAGTGCATATGAACTAACAAAAGTATACTGCGTGATAAAATAAACACACAGATATCTAGATTAGATTGCTTTCTTCCTTGCAAAATTTTTATTTATACGTACGTATTATTACAAGATATAAGCGGTTATAAACGTAATTGTCCTTGCAATATCATATTATTATACTAACAATAAGCACAAATAATTTAATCGATACTTTTTACTTTAGACGACACGTGTCGACTTGAGTTAAAGCTGATAACTCTTTGATAAACTATTCCATATATTGAAGTTATACATAGGATATAATGCTGTTTGTAAAGTGAAGATATGTAAAATTATTGTTGTAGTATAGTTGTAATACAATATATTGTAATAATATAAACATAAAACGTGATAGTTAATTTTATTTATATTGCTAATATATTTTTATTCAGAGTTTCCTGTAACTACAGAATTATCTTTTAAGAGCGTGTTACTAAGATAATATTGAGTCGAGAATCCCAACACGAGGTTATAAAGTTCTCTAATCACTGAACTGACATTTCGCACGTTCAGGCATGATAAAATGACACGTGGTGATGGCGCAGGCATGGTTGACTAATTCAACCATGAGCTCAGATAATTTTGTCGCGAAAACATTTGAAAACAAAGAAAAAGTGTTAGGGCTATGGCAGAGAATGACGTAACTGTCGTAGTCGTGACGTAGATAAAACAAAAAAAAAAAAACGTAAATGTCGTGATACTGAAAGTGCTTCGGAGAGAGGAGATGAGTAATATTAATTATGTATGTGCATACATCTTAATAGTTAATAAGTAAATATATATACACTGAAATAAAATTAAAATAGATTTATTTATAAAAGTAATAATTTATTTGTTTCCACCTCCTCCTTTAGAATTGTCTCTAAACTATTCCTCGTGTCAACTTTGTGCGCACTTTAACAAAAAATTGTGAACGTCGCTGAACAATTCGATAAAAAATTTTTTATAAATATGTATAAATATGTCTAAATATACACAAACACGTATAATTATTCATAAATATATATGATTATATATGAAATATGTCTATACATATTCATACATCCCTTTTTCTTTTGTAAAATTACTTTTTAGTGTAATAGAAATAGTAATAGTAATGTGAAAACATCAAGAATTATTAAATGGATAATTTTCGCATTGTTCGTTTTAGAAAAAAAACAAGTTTGCAAAAATAAAAAAAAATTGCTCGTACATAATTATACATAATTTTATATATAATTAATTATACATAAGTAATTTTTTTACATTTCTTCAAACTCAATTTTTTCTAAAACAAATAGTGCGAAAATTACCCTTTTAATTATTTTTAATGTTTTTACATTCCTATTATTATTTCTATTACACTAAAAAGTAATTTTACAAGAAAAAAAAAGGATATATGGACATATTATATAAAATTATGTGTGTTTATGAATATTTATACATTTATAAAATTATGTTTGTTTATTTATGTATGTTTATACATAATTATACATATTCAGGCATGATAAATTTTTTACCGGGAATCTCCCGGATACAGGCTCGTGCTTTTATGTATGACTAGCGGTTGCGCCAAGCCGCCGCCCAGTGGCGCTGATCGCGTGCTACAAACGGGTTGGAAATCGCATCACTGCTCCATACTTCAGTTCATGTCTCCATTCGTTCCATTCTCCACAATTTTCCATTCAGAAGCAGCTGCTGTTTGCTTTTTTCGTAGCAACTTCGATTGGGAACGTGATTCCTTGTCTCTTTCGCGACCGGATATTCCACAAAACCTACGCGTTTTGCGTGCCGGTCACGGCTGGAAAATAAAATGACGGAAAACAAAACGGAATTCGTAAGTATCCTTAATTTCCCGATCCGTCTTAATCTGTCATAACCTCTACGTTCGTGAGATCTGTTTGCAATAATTATGCGATGTAAAAGGTTCATTCATTATTTTGTCGATCGTTTTCAATTTTCTGTAATTAATTCCTTCTAATTCAAGAAATAATGGACGTAAGATTCCCTCGATTTTAAACTTATTAAATTAAAAGAAATGGATCAACTTAGACACGCCTATGCAATTTTATAATATCATAAATATAATCTATTTATGATATATTATGATATATTATTTATGATATATTATTTATGATAAATTATTTCTTTTTATATCGCTGCATAAAAAAGGTTTTATTATTTTATTCGTATTGATCGTTTTCGATTGTGTTCAATTAATTTCTTCTGATTTGGGAAATAATAGAGATAAGATTGCCCTTTGATTCTTAAACTTAAGTAATTAAAAGGATATTTATACTTAGCTACAAAATTTTATATTACTATTATAAACGTACTCTGTAGTATTATAAATTATCTCTTTATATTTTATAAAGGTCCATTATTTTATTTACATTGATATTTTCCAATTTTTATTTCTTCTAATTCATAAGATAAGAGGTTTGTTTTTTATGGCTGAATTAGTGTACACTTTTGGAACTTAAAGTGAGAAAGGTGCATATTTGATATTTGTCGAAAGCAAGAAAGAGACTTCTGGTGCAGTCTAGTGCAGGAATAGAAAACAGACCAATAGACATAAGATTACTTTGATTCTAAACTTGTGAAATTGAGACGAATATATGTCTACTTAAACGGTTACAAAATTTTCTATTATCTCTATTGTAAATGTATTCTTACATCTTATTTTATAATGTGATATATCACTTTATTGAAATGCTATCTGTCTACTCATATTTATACTTATTCTTTTATTATAGAAAAGATTAATATATAATCCTTGTTTTTGCATAGAGATTTTGTCGTGTTTTATATATTTATTTAAGAAAGTGTCTAGAGATATATAAAAGAAATATATAATATATATATATATATAAATTTGCGGTTGAATTTTTGAAGGTATATCTCTATTGAAATTTGTTTTGCAGGACTGGGGAAATGAAAAGTTACAACGCGCTCAAAAGACTGTTGACGAATCGCCATATGACTTAGAAGCATGGAGCATACTTATAAGAGAGGCACAGATCAGACCAATCACAGAAGTACGACCAGTATTTGAGAAACTTGTAACAGTATTCCCATCGGCTGGACGTTATTGGAAAATTTACATAGAACAAGAGGTAATTGGTTATATCAATTTTTACTAAATTATACTGTAACTGTAGAAATTATTTCAATAAATCATTTAACTTTGTAATATACCAAAAAATCTTTTATACTGTTTTATTTTAAAAAGAGACATTTATAATGAGATTTTAATCTGTTGTCTTGTTTGCTTTTCTAGATGAAAATGCGGAACTTTGAGAAAGTGGAAAAGGTATGTTAATATTAATTCTATGAATTTGTATGTTTAGTGTAAAGAGTTTATATTTATATATGATTAATATTAAATTTTCGCTCTATTCCCAAAAAAAATTAAAATCACACATACAGAAAATTCAGTTTGTGTATATAAATGAATTAAACATTGGTACATAAATATCATAAATTGTTTGATAAATTAAAGTAATCTTATAATAAAATTTTTTTTTTATTACAATTATAAAATTGCTGAAGTTGTATCCAATGTAAATATATAAAATGATATTTTATATAATTTTCTCTCTTATTATATTAATTGATTTGACTTATTAATCTCTACTTAATCTAATAGGCGCGTCTTTTCGTTGTAAAGTTAACTCTCTTATCATGAACGCTATTTTTACAGAATGGATGTTTCTATTTTGTTTCGTTGCTGTAATAAAACGGGTTAGAATTTTAGGATATTACTAACGTGCAGTGTTCGAATATTATCATATAATGTGATTTTAAACATTTTGCAAATTATATGAGGTGAATAAAAAGACTATTTCACCACAAACCAATTATTTCATTGATTAATAATTGATCTTTTTATATATTTGGGAGGTTGTTTTCTTTGGCTGTTATTTATATTATTTATTGTAAAGTTTATTTGAAAAAAGTTATTGCTATTGTAATATCCAAAGAAGATAACTTTCTGAATGTAATAGCCTTATTCCTTCCTGCAATATATTTTTTATTTGTGCTTAAGATCGGTTTATCGATACTAATTCAACTGTATATAAATATTATTGCAAACTGGATGGCATGTATAATAAATAAGATTCGAGACTTACACTATATATATATATGTGTGTATATATATATATATAAAATATCAAATCCTCAATCAAATCTCAGTATATATATTGAGGATATATTTTATAATGTTGTTTTATTCAACCACGAATATAGAAAGTTCCACTCTACACCTTCCCTTTTAGCAATATTTGAGAAAATCTAATATAAATGGAAGCTCAAATGTTGCGATAACCTTTAGAAGTAGCATAAAGCGATAAAATATTTAATTAAGTAGTTATCGATATCTGTAATTATTTTTCTTCATTTGTCATAATTCGAAGAATTTTAATATTAGGGATTCTAATCACTCTATGCTGCTTCACATTGTCTTCATTTTTTTATACGTCTTGGGATCATTCATTTCTGGATCCCACATAGGTTCGTTTTACTATAATTGGCCCCACTTGCAGAAAATAAATAAATTTTTCATTTTGTGTGGGGCATTTTTATGTTATATTAAATAATATACATATTTTATATACGAAACATTAATGTTTCTCATTATTGCTAATAAATCATATCTTTATGCAATAAACTATTCTCGATTGGTGCATTGGTGCATTATTATTTATCCCATTTTTACATATAACAAACATTATTATTATTAGTGACTGTATTCTATTAAAAATTTTCTTAATAAATTTTGCCTATTATTTCCTATGATGTAAATGTACAATTTATCCCGTGCTTTCTATTAGAAATGTTTAATTATGTGTATAAATAAAACTTGCCTTTATGGGTAAGTAATTTGGTGGATATATATACGTATATATCTTCCTATGGGACAAGAGCCTGTGTGTGTGTATGAAGTCTTATATTTACGGTGTCTAGTTACTACGGATACATTTCTAAAATGTCTCTTTTGTCTAACAGCTTTTCCAAAGGTGCCTCATGAAAATATTAAATATTGAATTGTGGAAACTATATCTTTCTTATGTCAAAGAAACGAAAGCAAGTCTAACTACGTATAAGTAAGTACACGGAAGTATTTTGTTTTAAAATACAAGGTGTTTCATAACATGTGGGCATAACTTTAGAAATGAATTCAAAAGTAACACAAAAATTTCGTATAAATATTTGTTTTAACTGATCTTGTTTCCGAGTTACAGACATTCGGGTTTCATTGATTCCCGTTTCAAATTGACAACCAGTTAGGATAGTGTCTTCACATGTCTTCATACATCTTTGTGTCTTATGACTATTAATAAACACTTTATGTGTGAAGACGATACGCGATAGTTTGTAACGAGAATTAATGAAATATGAAAAACGTCTGTAACTTAGAAACAAAGATTATGGAATAGAATTATGGAATAGAATTATGTGGAACAGATTCCGATCAGAATTATTTATTCAATTCCCTAGATTTCTATTGTATTTTCTAAGAAAAACAGAATAATTCCGATCGGAATCCATTCCGATTAATTCTAAAATACATGCCAAAGTCAAATGGAACAAATGTTTATAAGAATTCTTTTGTGATATTTTTGTGTTGTAAATTTATTTTTGAAGTTATTGCTGTATGTTATGAAATACGCTGTATATAATCCGGGTGCAAGTGTAAGCAGTATTCATTTTTTGTATCGATTGATATTAAATTAATTATGCAGAGTTTAAAGGAAATTACTTGTTTTTAGGGTGAGAGAAATTAATTGTGACATTTTTTTAGGGAAAAAATGGCACAGGCGTATGACTTCGCATTGGATAAAATTGGCATGGACATACATTCTTACAGTATTTGGAATGATTATGTCATGTTTTTGAAAACGTCGAAGCGGTTGGATCATATGCAGAAAATCAGAAAATTAGTGCTGTACGAAAGGTAAATGTGTTCGAGTATTTTATATTTTATACTATAATACTTTCGAGTATTTTATATTTTACTACAAGAAAAGAAATAAAAATTTAACATTTTATGAATAAAAGTAATTGTCAATGAATATTAAATCATAGGTTTATCAACGAGGCGTTATTAATCCCATGATAAACATGGAACAATTATGGAAGGATTACATGTCGTTTGAGCAAAATATTAATCCAATAATCGCGGAGAAAATGGCCATCGAAAGATCTAGAGACTATATGAATGCAAGACGCGTCGCTAAAGAACTGGAAGCGGTTACGAGAGGTTTGAATCGGAGTGCACCCAGCATCCCTCCAACTGGTCATCCTGAAGAAGTTAAACAGGTACTCTATGGCCGGTATTCATAGTCAGTTCTTATTTCAAGACCGTCTTAAGTAATGTCTTAAGACGCTAATGCAGCCCTCTGATTGATTCGTGACATCTTAAGACTATACTTAAGACGGCCTTGAATATAAGAACCGAGTATGAATACCGGCCTATGATCTTGTTCAGTATATTTTCTCTTTTATTAAAATTAATAGTATAATAAGTAGCTATACTGCGCTATCCCTAACCTTAGCATCTGTGCTCCGTTAGAAGGACAACTATATATTGAATCGTATCAGCATCTCTCTTAAACTAGTTACTTTAGAGTTGTGTGCGTGTACGTGTGCGTGAGATATATATATATACTTACTAAGCTATCTCTTCTTTCTAAACCAGTGACAACTTCATAGGAATACTCAGTCTATACTCATTACGTCTAAAAACCAATTTTCAATATTAATTGCAATATATTCAATATGCAATACATGTATATTACATTTAATACATTTTATCAAGGTCGAATTATGGAAGAAATATATTGCATGGGAACGTAGTAATCCTCTAAGAACAGAAGATACATCGCTGGTCGCTCGGAGAGTTATGTTCGCAATTGAACAATGTCTCTTATGTTTGGGTCATCATCCTGCGGTATGGCATCAAGCGGCGCACTTCTTAGAGTTGAGTTCTAAGATATTGACGGAGAAGGGTGACGTGAATGCGGCCAAGAATCTCAGCGATGAGGCTGCTACTATGTTTGAGAGAGCGACAAACACATTATTATCGAAAAATATGTTGCTATATTTCGCGCACGCAGACTTCGAAGAGGGTAGAGTGAAATACGAGAAAGTGCATCAAATATATCAAAAGTTCCTTGATATACTTGACATAGATCCTACCTTGGTTAGTATATATGGACTTGTGCATTAAATAATTATGTTGATAATATATTAATTTTTTTTATCGTGCAGGCATATGTACAATATATGAAATTTGCGAGAAGAGCCGAAGGTATAAAATCTGCGAGGACAGTATTCAAACGAGCACGAGAGGATATAAGATGTAAACACCACGTTTACGTTGCTGCTGCGTTAATGGAATATTATTGCACTAAAGATAAAACCATAGCATTTCGTATATTTGAATTAGGATTAAAGAAATTTGGAGATAATCCTGATTATATTCTTTGTTATATAGATTACTTGTCACATTTAAATGGTAAGAATCCAAGAAAATTATATAATTTTTTTTATAAATGTTCTAAATGATATTATTGTATATGCTATATTGCATATTATTGCAGAGGATAATAATACAAGAGTCCTATTCGAGAGGGTATTATCTTCTGGCTCTAGCTTAGAACCAGAAAAATCGGTGTATGTATATTTATATGATGTTAAATTTTTTACTACATTATCATAAAGTACACCTTTGTTCGTTTTGCAAACAGTAATTAAATATTTCTTACAGAGATATATGGAATCGTTTTTTGGAGTTCGAATCTAATATTGGTGATTTAGCTAGTATCGTAAAAGTCGAGAAGAGACGAAGTGCAGTATTGGAAAAGGTTACTATTTGTCTCGGACATAACTTATTGTAATACGAGAAATAATGCACAACTATTATTTAAATTATTACTTGTCTATTCTATTAGATTAAGGAATTCGAAGGAAAAGAGACCGCTCAATTAGTAGATAGATACAAATTCTTGGATTTGTATCCATGTACTGCTATGGAATTGAGATCAATAGGATACATGGATGTCTCCAGCGTTGCTAGAAATTCCATTGGAGTTATACCCCGCGTACCTGATCCAGAAGAAGCGATTGCCGCTTTGCCCAGACCTGATTTGTCGCAAATGATTCCATATAAGCCAAAAGTAAATCCCTTACCTGGTGAACATCCGGTTCCAGGTAGGTTTCGTTGAATATATTGAATATATTTTCATTTATATCGAATATAATATTAGTAAACTATATATTATCACATCTGTTGTTACTATATTGTAGGTGGTTCATTCCCATTACCAACGGCCGCGGCTCAATTGTGCACCATATTGCCTCCACCTGGTTGCTTCAGAGGCCCATTTGTTATCGTTGATTTATTAATGGATGTTTTCAGTAGAATTCAATTACCTGATCATGGTACTTATCATATTTATAAATTCTTGTCTTTAAACATGGTACATTTTAACAATTAAAATAAATTTACAGCTCCGTTGCCAGTGGCAGATAACGGATGCGACACCAAATTGTTCGATCTCGCGAAATCTGTGCATTGGATTGTCGATGAAAGTAATGATGGCATGAGCCTCGGATCGAAACGTAGACGGACGCGTTTAGGTGGCGATGACAGCGAAGAGGAAGATTTACCGCCTCCACCTGTAAATGATATTTACCGCCAAAGACAACAGAAGCGAGTTAAATAAATGAGAGGAACGAATGACATAAATGGTAAAAATATGTATGAATGGTCATGATACGTTCGTAATGATGATTCATAATGTCGCGGATGTATTTTTATGAATTAATTTCTTGTCGCTATTGATTGGTGGGAGGAACAGACTTATCATTATCGTGAAGCATATATTACATTTGTAAAGTTATTAAATTCCTTATGTGACACTCCGTGCACAATATTTTTAAGTACTATGTACTTAGAAATTCTATTGCGTCCTTTGGTTCTATCCTTCATATGTATACAATTGTTTATGGCTAAATATATTATTTTTTGAATAAATCGATGTATCAATTTATATACAATATAGAGATATACAGTATAAGAAAAAAAGTGAACTGCCCATAACTCTAAACAAGCAAATTTCTGTGATTTGTGTGTGTAAGATTAATCGAAACTATCTTAATTCTATCAGATCGATATTGTTGAGAAACTAGTGATTATATAATAAAAACTGTCATTGTACAAAACGATGGACGCAATTTCCGTATAAATTTTATTGCAAGTATTATCAAGAAATCGCATTTAATATTTTTACTTCGTGAAGAATAATTATGTTAGTATTTCATTTAAGATGTATGTAACTTATCGTACAGGACCAATAAAAAGATTAATGTGATACTACATTATCTCATTGCACTTGTTTATCTATCCATATCTTATTTACATTCTACGATTACAATTTTGAAATTAAGATTTAAAATTCTAATAATTATGTGTTACCATGAATCCGTGAAATTTATAAATACGGATATGTACATATTTAATATTTCTTGCTCACGCGCCATTTAGAAATAAAAAATTTTCAAAAAAAATTTTTTACATGATTAATTTTATCACTGAAACAGAAGATACTAGATATATGATAATTGGGTCAGTTAACAGATTGGGGATATTAACGCTTCAATGAAGTAAATAGTTCGTCATCAGCGCTTCTCACGGGGGTAAGGTAGACTTTGTTAGCAGGTACAACTTTACGATAAGGGTGCAATTAAACTTTGATCACTATTCCTAGTTCGAGTGGCTGGTAATGGCCCCCTTGGGTTAACGGTAAATTGGGCTGCGGGCTTCGAAAATAGTTAGTGTCCGCAGTTAGACCTGCACTGAAAACTTGATAAACGATCGAAATCACAAAACCGCATGAGTTTGTCAACCGTTTCCACAAATTTTAGTTACCATTTTAGAAAAAAAAAATTGACTTTTCAGCGATTCGAAAATCTGGCACTAACACAAAAAGTTAACGTATACTCACCATTTTGTTCGTTTTTATTTTTGTTTTTAGGATAACATTTCATATTATTTTATCAGTGAGTTTCGATAATAAAAATGATTCACAAACATTTAAAGCGCATGTTTGAGTAATCAAAATGCAAACATTAAAAAAATAGATGTTTTAAATATATTTATCGGAGTTTCAATAATAAAAATGTTTTGTAAATATTTAATGCATACATATACGTAACTGAAATTCAGACATTAAAAAAAGAGATGTTTTTAAATATATTTACATTTAATTTATCATAAATTACTGTTTATAATTTTTTTAAATAAGGTTATTTTAAAAACGCGACAGTTAATTATACATTTTTTCTTGAATGAGTATTAATAGAAAATTCGAAATATTTAATACACTTTAGTTTGATGACAAACTGCTTAATTGATTATTTTTTATTTTTAAAGGTTATTTTATCTTTTTATTGTTTCATTAACGTCGTAAAATTTGTTTAAAATGAAAACAATTTAGTGTCTACCTTTCTACAGCGTTTAACGCTTATTGAGAACAGGTTGGCAGACTTTTAAACGACACGGTAAACTTGCGGTTAACTATACGATATATATTGGTCGCTTTATTGTCTTAATTACTACTGAATGAAGTGCATGTGATGAGCGGCGAGGGGATATCCAAACTCTATTACGTGCACATAAATCCTAAGTGTTTGACGCGTAACTACGGCATACTTGCGCGTCTATCTATCTTGGGTTGGGATACCCCGCACTTGTACTCTTCTGGAACCGCCTGCGCCATCGAGATTCTCCCTGATGAGCGTAACGTGTCTCCTCCTGGGAAATCGATGTTGCAGTCTCAGTATGACTAATTATGCTGGCTCGTTCATCACATTTCAGTAATCGCAATGTGATACGTGTAAAAGGGAAGTTTTATCCTTCCTTTTTTTCCATTAACATAAAATCTCAAGCATTGACAATTTTTGAAAAAATTGCCTTAATGCGTTGATCGATTTTAGCATATAAAAGACAAAATTATTCTCGATTTGTCAAAGGATACATTTGATTACTTACGGAGATAATTATTTTATTTATCATCAATATAAATCGCTAACATTATGCTTTATAAGTCACTATGTCGATAATTTCGAAAAAATTAACTATTCCGAAATTAATTGTTTTTACCCAAGCTTGTATTATTTCTCGTAAATTTCTTGTATAGTAATGTTGTATTATTTTCAAGTGGATAAACGCAAACGCGGAAATTTTGGCAGATACTTGGAAACAGTGGAAATCACGGGAGATTCAGGTGTTCTGTGCGGATTCAATAATGCGCTGGCATAGTACTTAAAAATATATCTTTCCCAAAATGCATTAGAAAGCTTTTACTACAGCTTTTACTATAAAGAAATTATTTCTTACGTAGTAAATAAATGAATTACCGAAGATTAGCACACTGAATGTGTCAATCTTGTCGTCGAAAATTTGCAGCGCGACTATTGTAATATAGAGATTTGAGGCAGCTTCAATAATTGCCTCCATGTTAATCCAATAATTTTATTCTAATGATAATTATTTATTCAATTTAATTCTCATAATTGTTTTATTATTACTTCAGTAATTACTAGTGTAATTAATCCATGACAAGTATATTATGATATTATAACGAGCAAAAAATTATATCATATATCTAAGAATTCTTTTAGAATTTTTATTTTTTTAAGGGACTTAAATAAAAAGCGTGAGTTTGCTACCCTATAAATATATCCCATAAATATATCCTATACATTTTGCTATCCTATACATTCCATCTATATTACATACCTATCACATAAGTATTCTTGCTTTTATCGTTCTCATTACAATTAAATTAATTGTGTATAACTCTTACTTTTTCTAAAATGTTTGATGCATCGTCGTTCATAAAAATGTGTGTACATACGTGTATATGTACACATGTGTAAATGTATGTGAATGTCCGCAGTGTATTGAGCTTGGGTTCGTGAATTTGCTAAACCCTAAATGACTGTGCAGATCAGTCATCCCTGCGGGATTTAATTCTGAAAAAAGACTGCCCTCTACTGCCAACTGATCTAGTATCTCGAATTTTATGCTAAGGCACGCGATTCGTTTTAATTTGAATAATTACTTTTTACGGGATCTCAAATCTCAAAAACAAAATTATTGCATTACATAATATTTTAATCTACAATTTATTAATTATTTCATCAGCTTTACACTCATTGGCCAAAATTGTTTTTGTCAGAAGATATTCAAGAAAGTCGTAACAAATAATTAGAAAATATCAAGAAAAATATTTCTATTATCAAAATTAAATGCAATAAAAGTTAGTTTTAATCATTTTTAAATTATTATATCCCTCCATTATTATATTATTTTATAATACTAATATATTTTAGATTTCGTATGCATATCAAATAATTTACGAAACTTTTTCTAAGAATAAGCTTCTAAAAAATCAGAAAAAATATATCACTGAACGTGTCATGAAAATATTATAATATAAAAAAATTCTTTAATTTATAATTAGTTATATGTCAATTTGAACTAATATTGAAGAATTTATGATATATTATTTTTTTTAATAATATTATATAATAGTTGTGATGCTTTTCACAATGAAATCCATTACAAGTATCCTATTTTATAGAATAAATTATATATTGAAGAAGATATTTCTTTAGATTTATGGAGAAATGTGTTGCATTTTTTGCGATGTAAATAACGTTTAAAATCTTATTAATAAAAATTAGAAAATTGATTGAAAGCAACAAAGGTTGCCTTCTCTCATGACTTCCAATAATTACAATGTTGTATTTACGAAGTCCGTATGTTGCAGTCCGAATTTAATTAAAAGTAATCGGCGATTAACATATATGTTTATATGAAGCATTTGCTTTATTTCTATGAAACGCTCTTATCCTCTTTTATTGATTAATAATATTTATATTTATTTTATTACAACGCGCGTGATCGCGTATTGAATTTATGTTTTACTTAGCATGCAAATCGATAGTCGACACGGCAACGCGTTATAATGTACGAATAATATTCGACATAATAATTTATTACAATTACTTTTTGCAGTATGTTTCAACTATGGTTTCCGCGAGCTGGAAACAGCTTCGGGATTATGCGTAATTAAATAATGCAAGCTAAAGCGCAGCAGTAGATGGTTAAAAGCACCGAATGCATATTTCGTATTCATATTTCATCCTGAAAGACGAACGTACGTAGCAAAGAGGGGTTTTTAATCATTAAATTTACAGAGATGGCAGGATTAAAGACGATTATGAACAAAGGATAGACGACTATGAAGTCACTATTTAATTATTCGATGAAGAATTTTTGTCACTTTTGATTCACGTCGACGAGCTACCAAGCTGATCTTTTCGCCGGAAAGTTCGGGAATAAAACCAGTATGGTACTGCTGATTTTTCTCCGTTCTGCGCGACACGGGCAGAAGAGAATTAGGATCTATCTCGCCATTACGTACGACTGGCTCGATTTACTCGATTTCCAACTATCGGAACGTATATCGTCCCGCGCGACGTTAACGAAGATTTTACAAACTGATGCCGCCATTAATTCTGCAAGCGCGAAAATTTAGGGTGACGTCGACCTCGCTACTCGCTCGGGACGCGACTTGGGGTCTTTGAAACTTTGGTTCTATCTCGGAGGAAGACAAATGACAAGAGCCGAAAGCAGCAGGCCTTGGCTGCTTCTCGTGCTCAGCCTTTCATAGGTCGCTAACGCATAACTCTCGTACTTGGTGATGTGCACAGGACCACTTCGAGATAGAGCTCGTAAGAATAATTTCTTCTTCGCATCGGTAACGACAAGACTAACAACGATCGTGATCATCTTCTCTTCGACAAACTTCGAAATTCTGTCTAAGATAAATATTGCATGTCGATCGCAATTTAGTACGTTTCTTTTTAGTGTATAATTAAAAAATACAACATGGAAAGAAAATGAATTGTGCATAATCATTATCTTAATTAAAA